CTCCTGGGCAGACCCTTCCTCATTCACCTTTTACACGTTCTTTTTCGTGCACGGAATTTTTTCATCCTTTTTGTTTTAAACCTGAAATCCACGAGTGGCTACTTCTGAAGTGATAAAAATCTTATTCTCTGCCTTTGTTTCTTTTTCTTTTCAGGCAATTGTAGCTTACAACACCTTAATTATCGCGTCTCTGAAAACTGGTTAAAGATTTTAATACTTCCTTCCCCGGACCATTATGCAGTAGACTTCTCAGCCCCATAAAATGTGCCTTCTGGAAGCCGAGCACCTCTGCGGCTGCAGTTCCGTGCTCATTCCTTGCCCTGATGGTTCAAGTGCCTCCGGATCCCCCCTTGCCTCTGCCCTGGCCCTCCTAGCAGGCTAGGCAGGTGGGAAGCGCCAGAGAGGCAGCTGGAGCAGATTTTCAGTTAGAATACAGGCTTTTTAATCTAAAGCACATTACACAGCTAGAGTATGTTGCATCATTTTAATCAGCCAGCACATCTGCAGAAGGTGCAAGTTTCCAGGAGCCGGAGTGCAAGAATGATGGTATAAATCACAGTGAAGGCAAATCCTTGACATCACCTTCATTTCTGAATTTGATCCTCTGATTTAGCAGCGCAACGCTGGCTTTCTGGCACCCGTTTTGCCTGGCTGTTTGCTTTTTAATAGCTACAAGGCTTGTCAGACATCTCCACGCATCCGATGTCCTGGCGTTTCAAAACCCCCTGTGCTGGGTTTTCAAAGACGGTTGGATTAATCATGGATTTTGGCCGCAGACGTGCAGGGCTCTCACTGGAAGGGTTCTGCTCCGGGAGAGCGGCTGCGCCTCCCTGCAAAGCCATTTGGGACACACGTGCTGTGTGAGCTCAGCCTGGTGAGATCTCATCCCTTTCATCCCAGAAAACAGACAGGGGGGAAAAAATCTACCAGGTCCCACAGTGGCCGTGCCTGTGGGATGAATGAAGTTTAATCCCCACCGATTTTTATTTAGGTGAGTTTTAAATAACTCAAACGCTTCCCTGGGGGAACCATCCCACAGCCCAACAGATTTCAGCACTAAGCAGTTTTTCCTGGTGTTCAGCCTAAATTTTCTTTTGCTCTGTTTTAGCCCATTACTCCTGCACTATAAAATTTCTCAGGCAATTTAAATATGAAGTGGCTGAGGAATACATTTTGGGATGCAGATCATCATTTGATGAGAGTGTGACTGTGCACGGTAAGAAATTGCAAGGTACAGCTGCTCAGGAGGTGATGGGGGTGATGCTGAGCTGACGGGGAACTGTAAATTGGGGGTGATGCTGGCTTTTACCAAAGGGCGTATGATAACTTCCCTTTCACCTTGTCCCTTGAGAATGAAGCAGGTGGGGGTGAATTCCCCAGATCACTCCCCTGAATGACCTTATCATTTTAAATGAGGTTTTGAGGGAGGTGGAAGAGGGAAGAAACTGAACCCAAGAGACCAGCGTACACATGTGCTGGTGGCGTAGGAATGGGACAGTGTGATCTAGAGGCAAGAAAGCTCTAAGCTGTCCATGCACGTGGCACAAGGCATCTCCTGGGCCCCAAAAATTTGAACAATGCAGGAACTAAGTGATGCCCTTTCTTTTCTCACAGGTTCCCCCCCAGTTTTAGACAAGGACTCCGGGGGAGTGTCTGCATCCTTCCAGGAGCTCGGTGCAGCATCATTCTCCCGAGTGCTGGGGAGGGAGACTTCGTGGGAGCTTAGTTCATTAAAGTCGTGACACCCACAGTCATTCACACTCTCCATTCACGCTCCCCATTCATGCTTTTCCATTCACTCACTTTCAGTCTATGCACACTCTCTGTGCATGCTTCTCTGCCTCTCTATGGACAGGTCTGGGTGAGACTGTGCCCGTGGCCGCTGCAGTGTGTGGGGACGACGATGCCAAAGGGAAGGGAGCCACGAATCCCCATGGCTTGCTGGGCTGACAGGCAGGCATGGGCAGGGCCACAGCCTCTTAGTGATTTGTCTCCCACATCCAGCTCCTTGTGGAAGCATGAGGGTCACCCATAAAGCCTGGGATTTTTGGAGAGGTTCAAGGTGTCACTGTCCCCTGCACCTGCCTCACAGCTGCTTGGAGATGCTTGTCTTGGGTCTCCAGGATAACAATCCCTGCTGCTGCTGGTGCAACCAAGGCTGGGAACCACTTCCCAAACTGTCTTAGGAAGTGCCCTGGTTTGGCACCACTGATCTCCTTATCGGGGCTGGGTGAGAAAAGCAGGATTTTGTCCCTGTCTTCACTGTGTGGGTGTTCCCAGCTGTAGGGGCAGCACAGGGAAGGGTTGGGAAAGGGTTTTCCTGCTCTTTGAGACAGATGCCCACGTCTCAGAGGTGCCCCACTGCCAGGAGTAATTCCTCTCCCCATGTGCCTTTCACACCTTGTGTTGGGCTGGGGTCTGTTGAGACCTTCCTGCGAGGGCTGAGGCCATAGACCCAGCATGTGGCAATCCCTGACATGCTGGCTGTGGCTGTGCCACTGGAACCCATAGCCAGATGGCACCGCGTGGCCTTTGGGTACTCACCAGTGGCTCTGCATGCCTGGCACTCTGGAAACCCTCATCCTGTTGGCAGCAAGCTGGGGTGCTCAGGTGAGGGGCTGCGATCCCAGAGCAATGCCAGAGTGCTCCTGCCTTCATCTTCCTCTGCCCCTGGGGACCTGGGAATGGGACAGCATCCTCCTTCTGTATTCCCAGGCTCTGGATCCCCACCTGAGCCTGTGCGGGGAGAGCCGTCATTGCCATGGCAACTGATCATGATGTCATCGGCAGAGGTGATGGAGCAGGGATGGCAAGAATGGGCAGGCAGCAGGCAGGGCAGGCAGCACTTCCCTTGCCCCAGCCATGCTGGTTGTTCTCTCAATCTCCCCTCCAAAACCTGACAACAGTTTTCTTTCCCTGTTTGTTTTTTCTCCTTCCTCAAGTATTTTCATTGCTTTTGAATCAGGGCATCCTCAGATGAGCACAAGGCCCAGCTGCTCGTGCCCCACACACAGAACCATAGAATGGTTTGGGTTGGAAAGGACCTTAAGATCACCCAGTTCCAACTCCCTACCATGGGCAGGAAACCTCACACTAAACCATGTTGCCCAAGACTCTATCCAGCCTGGCCTTGAACACTGCCAGGGATGGAGCATTCACAACTTCTCTGGTGCCTCACCACCCTCACAGTAAAGAAATTCCTTATATCTAACCTGAATTTTCCCTGTTTCAGTTTAAACCCATCACCCCTTGTCCTGTTGCTACTGTCTCTGATGAAAAGTCCTTCAGTGAGGTTTTTTTTTGGGTAAAATACAGAACCTTCACTGATGCAGGGTGCCAGAGGAGAAACAGGGATATCAGTGAGGGAAGAAACAAGGGAGACAAATGTGTCTCAGGGTGCCACCACAAAACCAGGGAGTTCTGAATGCGTTTAGTTGAAAGTGAAGTGCCCCCAGTGGGGTTTATCTCCATTTGTGAACTCTAAAGTGAACTGACCTGATCTAAAAAAATACATTTCTTAATAAAAAGCAAACTGACTCCAGAGTGGGGATATTTACTGTAAAAATTTTCATAATAGAAACTGAACTGACTCTGAAGGGTTTTTACAACTTTGTCTAATAGAAAGTGAACTGACTCGAGCTGTAATTTAGATTTCCTTCATAGAAAGAAAACTGATGCTGGAGGTTTTCTGCTTATTTTTGTAATAGAAAGTGAAGTGATTCCACAGTTGTTTATTTTTAAATGTTCTTAATACAAATAGAACTGACTCCGAAGTTTGTTTGTTATTATTGTTATTGTAACATAAAGCAAACTGGGTGAGCTTTGCATTTTCCTTTTTTGCTTTCTGAATGAAAACTGAACTGACTCTGGAGTTGGTTGGTTGCTTAATTTACAAACAATTCCTTCTTTTAATTTTATCAGTAAAACTGGAATTAACTGCAGAGGGGGTTAAAAAATATTTTTTTTTTTTTGTAATTAAAAGTGAACTGACTCCAGAGATTTCAAAAATATTTTCTCAATAGAAAGTGAACTGATTTGGGGAGTGAATTCAGGAAATGAACTGATTTTGGGGAGTTTTTTTTGAATTATGGGTTTATGACAACTGGGGAGTTTGTTTTCTTTCTTTTCTTTTTCTCCCCAAACCCTCCAAACTTAAAAAAAACCCAAAACTTCACCAAATTAAAAAAAAAAAAAGAAAAAGGGAAAATCTCAACAACCTCCAAAGCCCTCCAAAACCCTTCAAAAAAACCCCAAACCACCTCAAAACCACACCAAAACCTCAAAAACTTCAGAAACAAGCCCCCCCAACCCTGAACATTCAAAAAAACTTCAACAAAATTAAAAAACATTCAGAAAAGCCTTATAAAAACCTCCAAAAACTTAAAAGACCCCCAAAACTTCAACAAAACTGCAAAAAAAATTAAAAAATATTAAAAATCTTCAAAAAATCTCCCAAACCTCCAAAAATCTTTTAAAAAAAACCCAACTCCGCCAGGATTCAAATAAACCACCCCGGAAGGTGGATTCTGCAGCCACTAAGGGTAAATCAGCCTCACCCGGAGCCGCTCCGCGCCCGAAACCTACCGGCCTCTCCCCGCCGCTCGCTCCGCTCCCTCCCACGCTTCCCAGGCGAGGCCGCTGCCACCGGCGCCCGCTGGGGGGCGCTGTTGGACCGCGGCTGAATGGCGGGGCGGCGGGGCTGCGCCGTCGGGGCGGGGATGAGCCGCCGGGGCGAGGGGGCCCCGTGCCCGCAGCGGCCGGTCCGCACCGCCGTGCCCCCATCCCCTCCCACCTCACCCGGTCACCGCTCCGCGGGGGCAGCGGATAAAGCGGGGGGGGGGGGGGGGTGTGTGTGTCAAAAAGTGGTACGCGCGCCCTTTAAGAGGCAGGAGTGGGCGTGTCCCCGCCCAGCAAGGCCCCCCCCCGCGCCACTCAGCGATTGGCCGCTCCGCTTAGGGCTGCCCGTCCCGCTGCCTGCGCGGAGGAGTAGAGTGCTCGTCGCGGCGGGCGGCGCCGCTGTGCGGGAGGAGACGGCGGCGGCGGCGGCGGCGGCGGCGGCGGCGGCGGGGCGGGAGACGGAGGAGGGCGGCGGGGAAGCGGCATGGGCGCCTGACGCCCGTCCCGTCCCGCCGCCGAGGGACCATGGCGCGGCCCTGCGGCGGGCGGTGGCTGCTGGGCGTCCTCCTCGCCCTGTGCCGCTTGGCCGCGCCGCTCGCCAAGAGCCTGGAACCGGTCTCCTGGAGCTCCGGTAACCCCAAGTACGTGCAGCGGAGGGGCGCGGGGGAACGGGGGGGGAGAACCCGCCTCGGACCCCCTGGCAAAAAAAAAAAAAAAAAAATTCTTACCAAAATCCGGGAGAATCTGACGCGCGCACAAAAAATTTTAACCAAAACCGCAGGATTTTTAAGGAAAAAAATCCCTCCCGTGGAGCGGAGCGGGCAGCGAGGAGCGGCTGGAGGCTGCGGTCGACGGACGGAGAGGAGCGACCCCGGTTGGAGTACGGACCCCTCGGCGAGCCCCGGCTGGCGGGGCCCCGGCGGGCTCCCACCTTCTTTTGTGCTTTATAAAATACTTTGATTTTTTTTTTAACTAGTTTTTAAAAATCCCGTTGGTTTTTAGAGCTTTTCTTGCCTTTAAATCTTTTTTTTTTTAATTTTTCAAAACGCGTTTTATTTTTTCGAGTTTTACAGTTTTTCTTTTTTTTTTTTTTTTGTTTTTTTCCACCTTGACGCTGTTTTTGCCCCGGGATTTAGGGCAGGCTCCGCCGCCCCCCACCCGCCCGCGCTCCGGAGGGGGGCCGGGGGGCCGCCACCGCCCCGGATCGCCGCCGCTAGAGCTGGATTTACTGCCTATACTTTGTGTTGGTTTTGATGGGTTTTCCCTTTGCTAAGCGGGAGGGGGGGCGGTGGAGGGACCCCCGGTCCGGCGGGGAGAGCCGGGCCCGAACAAAGCCGGCGGTGGGGTGCGGACCCCCCCCCCCCCCCAAGCCTTGCCGTATGTACAGCTGAATTGCATAGATGTGTGTTTATTATAGATCTATGTTTGTTATATATATGTATGGGGTGTGTGCGTACGTGTGTCTGCCCCGGCTGAGGAGCTGGAACAATGCGAGGGGGCTTTTCCAGCACGCCGGGATGAAGGGTGAGGAGCAGTGAAGGTGCCAGGGTGGTGGTTTTGGTTGCCCTCTTGCTGGGCTGTATCTTGTAGATCGCAGAGTGTTTGTTTATCTTAGCCCCTTCTGGGTTTGAAAGAAAATAATCATGCCTTTAGGTTGAGGTTTTTTTTTTTCCCAGCACCACATTTGTCCAAAAAAAAAAAAAAAAGGGAGTTTTTTGAGGTTGTAGAGAACCGAAATAATTTGGACAACTGTCCTGCTTGGACACCTGTATTCCAACCAGACCTTTATTTCGTTGTGTATGGGGAAAGCAACTTCGCAGGCACGCGCTGCGGAGGTGCAGCCTAGTGCTGGGACGAGCCGTGAGGGCTCCCACGAGTTGATCCTCCTGCGTGGCATGGTTTTCCTTCCCATCCCTTTGGTGACGGGAGCAGAATGAGCCTTGACCCTTGGGAGCTGCTCCGCTGGGTTTGCGAGTCTGTGATGCTGGCGACAGGAGGCCGGTTGTTTCCAGAAAATACCTTTTATTGTTGAAGAAAGGGCAGCTGGAGGTAGAAACCTCTTTGGCTCAGTGCTGGTGGGGGATGCCATGTCACCCCAGTGCTCTTCGTTAGCCTTGGCTTTATTAAAGGCCTAAGTCTGGGGCAGCTGCGGGGTGATGAGGTGGCCATGGTGGTCGATGGCATGATGGTGGGTTCCGACCACCCTCCCATCTGCTGGGGGCCGTGCTGGGCTCGTCTCTGGGCTTTCCCCCAGGTTGGAGCTCTGTGGTTGTCTGCCTTTCGTGTGGTTTTCTGGGTGCGTGTTGTCCCATGTGGGGACCTCTCCCTTGGGCAGTGCGAGGAGGTGGGAAGTGCCTGGAATGCTGGCGTTCCCACCCAGAAACGAATGGGTGCTAGGGAAGGGTCCGTGGGGGTGCCGGTTCCCGGCCATGGGGCCACTTGTGCCCCGTCAGTCTGTGTCCATGTGGCCTGACCCCGAGCCCTTGTCTTTAGGGTTCGCCTTTGTGGTCCTTTGCTTTCTTTTATGCCTTCGTGCTCTGCCTTCGATGTTCACAGGTTGCGTGGTGTTGGGTAGAGCCTCCTCAAGCCCCCTCCTGCAGCAAGCCAGCCTAGGGAGCGGTGTGCTGTACAGAGCCCATCTCCAGCTCTAGGAAAAGCCATGCTCTTTGTTAGGCTGGAGTGGCTCCCCTGGATAGATGCATTAACCCCCCCACATGCACTCCCCACTATACTCCAGGCTTTCAAACCCCTTCCTCCGCTGTTTCGTGGGCGCTGCCGTGCCTGTGCCAGCTCTCCTCCCCGCTCTGCTGAGCTTCAGCTTGTGTTTTTAGAGTAAAGAGAGCTAAAGCCTTTAAAAATAACACGGCTAAGTGGAATTTTCCAACAGACACAAGGAGAAAGCATCGCGCGTTGGGGCCGTTTGGCCTTGGTGCTATCACTGTAAATAATGAAAATATTTTCCTGCCCTTTCCTCCCCTGGGCAGCTCGGGGCTGTGCTTAGAGCGTGTGGGCTTAAACTTCACCGGGGCGTTACCGGCAGGTTCCTGGTCTCGTGGTAGTTATCAGGGCGATGCTGATAACGCACCTGATGGAAGGAACGATTTCCTAATCGAGTTAAGTTTAGCTTAAGCTGCAGCACTGTGTGCCGTGCTGGGGAAGCGTTTCTCTTTGGTTCCTAGGTGTGTGCCCAAATGCCAGCAGGGAAATCATCACCGCCTTCCGATCGTGAATAATTCACTGTCTTTAAAGGGGCAAAAATAGGCCTAGAAATGCTTTCGCTGGGTGAAAGGTGGTGATTGTCACAAACCTGAGGCTAAGTTAGATCCCCTCGAAGCGAGCTGCATGTGGAGCCCCTTGGGAGGGGTCTCAGGGAGCCAGTATGGCCTTAATTTTATTCCATCGTGTCTGAAGGGCCCTTTTGGGATTTCCTTGGCCCTTTTGCTGCTCGGCTGGGGAAGGGGGGGAATGTGCTCTTGTTGGACAGCCGGGAATTGCTGGTGAAATTCTGGCTAAATCCTTCCTCGACTCCCTTGGCTGTGATTTTGGAGAAATACTGACCCTGGTGGGCTCCTGTGCCGGCTGTTAAAAGGAAGCATTTCTAATAAAATATGGTTTGGAAAATTCATTTCAGGCTGGAATTCGCTTCTCCAGAAAGTATTTTAATAAGAAGGTGGGGGGAAATGGGACACATCATCCGCGCAGCTCCGAAGAGCGGGTTGTTTCAGCTCTGCTTTTCTCTCGCCCTTTATATAAAGTTTTACTCGGCTCCACTGGCTCTGTGCAGCAACCCAGAAACTTCCTAAAAACAAAATAAATGCATTTATTTAATAAAAAAAAAAGGCAGGGGGAAGAGGAAAAACCCAGACAAAAAGTCTTAATCCTTTCTGGTATTTTTATTCTGTCTTTAATGATATTATGGTGTCCTGTTGAATTCTGTAAGCGCTGAGTTTGAATCCTGGCATATCTTTGCCATTTTTAATGCCTTTTACGAGGGACAAAGTGCTCTCGGGAAGGCTGGTTCCGAGGGAAGGGCTGGCCTGGAGCTCTGCGGCGGTGGGCTCGCTCTTGTCGGAGCACATGTAATTTAATTACCATACCAGTGGGTGCATGAGGCGCTTCGCAGTGCAAGGAGTTGGGAAATAGTGAAAGCAGGCTCCTTTATGTGTAATTAAAAGTTGTGTTTGGTTCGCAAAGTGTTTGGGGAGCACGAGGGGGCTGAGCAGTGGGGGGGGCACAGTGATCCTGTATGGGATGCAGTAGCCCCTCCACTCTCCCTTGGGCTTTGCTTAATCTCTGCAGGGTGGTTTGGGTTAAGTGAGCCTGGATGGTCTTCATCCTGGCTGGAGTTTCACTCTTGGAACTGAGGAGCCCTTTCCAAGCCTGTAGGTTGCTGCTGAGTGCCCAAGAGCATGGGGGGCTCTTGCTCTCACTACCCCAAAGCAGAAGCCCCCATGCTGGGCCCATGTCTCAGCAGTGATGTTACCCTTCCTGCTGCGCCTGGGGGGAAGGAGCACCCAGGGCTCCTTGCATGTCGTTTGGGAATGACTTCATTAACTTAAATTAAAAAACCAACAAAAAAAAAAAGTGAAGGCAGGGCTGCGGCTATTGCAGTAGCTGGGTAAATACCACTGGATTCTATAAAATGGATTTAACTGCTTCCTTTAAAAGAAAAAAAGAGCCGTGATGGGGTGTCTGATTGATTGTAAAAGGAGCTGTAGCTTTCTCAGAGCAAAACAGCTGCTGCAGCTCCTCGGAGCCTCATGGCAGCGGGGACGAGGATGGGGCTTTTGTGCTGTTTCTGGCTGTGGAGGGCTGGGATGGAGCTGTTGGGGGGCTCCTTCCCTCCGCCGCACCTGAGCCACTTCATTGCTTTGGTTATTTCAACTATTACTTGGATCCCTGTCCCAAATGGGCTGTGTGTGGATGTGGCCATGTCCTTGTGAGGTGCGGCTGAGTGGGCAGGGGTCCCCTTGAGCCCTGTGGATGTTTGTTCAGGTCATGGGGATCACCAAGAGCCGTGGTGCATGTGCAACCCCTTGCGCAGCACATGTCAGGAGGTGTTTGGGTTGTCCCTGGAAACTGGGGGCTTAGTGGTAGGGATGGCCCCTTGTTTCCATGCAGGATTTCTGGGTCCCCACAGCCACCCTGGGGCACCCCAGTCCCTGCCTTGCTGGCACCCAGCGGTGGCAGTGCTGCTGGGAAGCCTTGTCTGCCCGAGGAGTGCTGGGTCCGGTGGGAAAACATCTTGTACCGATCAGTAGCACATGCTACTTGGAGTCTGGCAGCTGAAACAGGGTGGGGAGAAACAAAGCTGAAATCCATTCTGTGTCTCATTAATGATTGCTTGTATTGGGAGAGCAGGAGGAGGACTCTGGGCTCGGTCCTATCTTGGCGTCACATCTGGACAGGAATGTGGTGGCGGTGCTGCGGGGCTTTTGTTGTGCTCCCATCGAAAGAGCTGAGGTCCTGCTGCTGCTTTCCAATGCTTTTCACCTCCCTTCCCTCCTCCTCTGGCAAGCAGAGGGGTGGTGGTGGTGGTTCACATGCTTGTGGAGAGGTTTGGTGCCCCTCAGTGCACACCCGGCATCCTTTGGGGAGGTTTTTCTTGCCCCTTGTGTGGCGTCTCCGGTTGGAGCACTGG